TGAGTTATAAAATATACCAAAACAATATCAGTGTTTTTTTTCACTTGTATATATCTAATTGCTTTGCCCCGAGTCTTTTTTTTAGCTCCATGCTTGAACCGAATTATTTGAAATTCTACCGTGCATAGAATGTCGCTGTCACAGAAGAATTCCCAGTGTATATAATAGAAAAATTACACTAAAACATGTAAATATGTATCATATCCGAGATCTGGTTCAGAAAATGTCAATACACCTGAATTGCTCAAAACATATACGAAATACGGGTTTGTAATAGGCCACCAAGCGGCCATCTTGAAATAATTTTACAAATCAAAGTGCCGTACATCTGCTATCCATAGTGGTTAATCCTGTCATAGGAGATTACGCCACTTTGACAAATCTTTTGAGTAAATACAAATGCGCGAGCCCAAATGACGGTACATCCACCAAACCTTCATGGAGTGACTAATCTCGGCCATACAGTTGCTGAGATTGAGTTAGCCTTTCATAAACTCATTAAAATGATAAAAACAATTTAGAACAAAATTTAGAATTTAAACATTTTTTAGAATTTATCAATTTAGAACAAACTCAGCCCAAATGTGTCCAAGAAATAATTAGACATAAAAATAAAACAAACTGACATGCATTAGCCTGCAATCATTTAAACAAGATGGCCACCATTCAGCCATTTTGGATTTGGTGGTCCAATTATGTTAAAAGTATGTTCAAAGTTTGAACAAAATACGTCCATGCGCAACTGAGATCCAGTTTTGCAATTGTAATAAACATGTATTATTTTGATACATTTATGACCTTAAAATGGCTGCCATTAATTCGTTTGAATTGGATTCTCAAACAAATACATGTACATACGTTAGATATAATGTATGTATGAAGTCTGAACTTGGTCAGCCCATGCATGTGTCAAATACCGCAGGATACAGACAGACGAATTTACAAACGCAGAGATCAAGTACCTGTTTTAATAGGGACTAAAAATCTAAATCAGAACTATCAGTAGGAAATGCATAAGTTTCCATTTTATCTTGACTGAAAGACAGCATGTCCCATACCTGAACAGTTTGACAGTGGGAATGCCTAATCCATTGCAGGATAGGCCACTCAGTACTGTCAAACTCAGAGTCTGATGTTGTGATGGAGTTGTACATCCACATAATTTGCTTGCATGTCTTGTGCTGCATGCTGTATTTATGGTAGAAAGTTCCTTACAATCAGTTTCATCCCAGGGTCCTGTTTGATGTATCAGTACTTATACTGTCATCTGTCGTCTATGTCTTAAAGGAAGGGCCACCACTGAAGTGCTTCTCATTCTCGGGTCTCATTTGCTAGAGTGATTTGTAAGTTCCTAGATGGATGCCTACACATACAGGAGTCGTCGCTGTATGGGTCTGAGCTCCAGAATGACAAGCAGCATCGGATATGCACAGAAATAATTATTCCTACTTGGCTCTTTAGTTTCTGCTCAGGGTTATTGATGACTGGGCAGCTAGGTTTGTGTGTTGCACTTGCTGAAGACAGCATCTTGTGCCCCTTTTCCATCCTGAGATGAGAGTGTGTACTGTAGAAATTATGAAAGTTCTTCACGATTGATTTTGGAGGAGCAAGTCATCGATGCAAGAGTACTCAAAAGATGAAGTTGAATTATCACAACCCAGCAGATGTTAATGTCAATGGTGACGTACAAAGACCAAAGAGTAAGTCTTTGAATTAATATACCATCCCTTCCTCTACAAACCTCAGTAAAGATTGATTGTAAGCATTCTTACCACTCAGAAATTGTTCATGTGATACACTTATGGATTGAGACAAACCAACTTGAATGAGTGTAGCTGAATGTGCTTGTTAAAAGTTTCCCCTTGATGCCATCTGTACTAGGAAAAAGTTAAGATCTTCTCATATGGGATGATTGCGTCCTCGTCTATTAACACTACAACATCCATCACAATTACCCATGCAGATTCCTTGGCAATGGCCTGTTTAGAATATCTGTCGTCAATATGGAATCCTATATTCTCACTAAATCACTAATAGACAATTTGTGTTCAAGAGCAGACTGTAATGAAAACCTGTGTGTTAAAGTGATTGTGGCTATAGTGGATACCCAAAGAACAGTTCATAGTGTTCTGGTGTTGTTGATAAAGTGTCATGAAGACCCCCCCCCCAGGTCAGAAGGATGCTGATAAAGTGAAAGAAATATTGGACTCTATGTCGGTTCAGAGAACTGAATCAACTGGATGTGCTCAAGACCATCTGTTTAAGGCGGAGTTAACGCAGTCTCAAATTGACCTGACCATTTCAGTACTTGAATGATTTGTCCAAAAGCACTCAAGTCAGGATGGAAGCCGTTCTAAGGGCCGATACCAAAACTGGACACAACATTCAAAATCAAGACATTTTAAGCACAAAGCTCACTCATCAAATCCGGTTTGGAAGACTTACCACTATAAAGTATACTATTGTTAGGTCGACTTACAAAACCAACTACACCAACCAACTATGTATTTAAGAAAATCAAATCAGATGAAGAATTCACATCATGTACATATTTATTAATATAAAAGATACGCGTCAATGAAAATTGTCATTTCCTTGTATTAGATAGTTTCCAAATATAACATTCCCCTAACCCAACCCACCCAAATAAAAACAAGAGAAAATAATGTCATTGATAAGATACACATGATTTGGTATTGGGTCACATTATAAACATACAATGGTACTACCATTCAATGTTGAAACACAGCTATCTACTGTAAAATACTTTATTTTCACTGTTTTCACTGAAGGGCTGATTCAGTGAGAATAAAATCCATTTTTCTTCTATTTCACATTTACGGTAACTTGTCAAAAATTAGTGAAAATAAATTCCATACAAAACTCAGCAAAAGTCTTTTCAGCGAAAAATTAATTGCAGCTAGAATAAAGTATTTTACAGTATACACTAAATTACAGTAACAAAACATAAGCCAAGCTTGCACACCATGCTTTTACTTTGTATATGTAATTGAAAGGAAAATTAAGTCAAAGCAGATATTAGAAAGAATTACCAAGATCAAGCATTGGGTTATAACAAAAGCCGCAGCAGCTATTGAATATGAAATAATACTTATGCAATTGTGAACTAAATACGTGTATAACTATTTTTTCCTTCAGTTAGATTACAGTGTTTACTTCCCAGTTTCAAAGAATTAATTAGGGTTCTATGAAAGATTAAAATCAAACATAAATCTATGTTTGACATGCCCACTGTGAGGTAATACATTTCTGTTCATTAGGGACATTTCATGGAAATCAGTGTCCCCTTGTCAAAAAAACACCAGTTGAATTTTCACTGCTATAATGAATAGAGAACCCTTTTTGTCTCACACAGACTATTAAAGGCAGTTTAGAGAATTTGGAAAAAGAATCCACAGTGGAATTGTGATACTGGCATAAGATCACATCACAAAGTTGCTGAATATCTAACGCTAATCATGAGATTAATCTCCACTACTTGCTTACTCATCTCTACTAACTAACAATTATTATCAACCAATTCATTTTTCGAATTGGCAGGATAATACATATGTGTATTCATCATGATTCAGAAACCAATGTCTTAACACTTTAAAAAACAACATGAATGTTGCTGCTATAATAAATAATAACGGTTTGGTACAATAACAATTTACAATATCATAACCATGCTATATCCTCTGAATTAGTGATGTGCTGAATATCTTACTCTGCTGCAATCTAGAAGATAAAACCTAGTGTCATTTCACATTTCATTTCATTTATTATAATTCCCTCTTGAATAAATGAAAATCGCATTTCAGTGGTGATACAGGATTCTTCATTTCTGTCCCAGTGAAGGTGCCATGTAGTCAGCTAGATCTTCATGATGTCTGTGAGTTGACAACAATTTTAATTTCATTTTGTCAATGCTTTTTTCGTTATAATCCTTGTCATCTTTGATCTCCACATTTAAATTGTTAGCCTTCAAGATAATATAGAAAAATAAATTAAATTGCAGTTGCTTTGAAGCAAAATTTGATAAAAATCAGCTGTATGTAGAGTCTGGTCTCTGGTCCACTACTGATGTTCATGCTGTCCATTCTGACTATGAAATTTTCAGATAGGCTTTGTCAACCAATCAGAGAATGCCTTTACAAGTGCTCTAGTTCTGATTTGTCTGAGATTTGAATTACAACTTTAGCTAATTTCCAAACGACAGAATAAAATATTAGCAACATTAAGGTAAAGCATACATGTAAGTCAATGTGATATAATCTCATATTTAGACAAAAACATTTGTCATTGTCAGGGATATTAGTAATCTTACTGGAAATTAAAATGGTGGCGTTTGTGTTATATCAGTATCAATCACAAAAACAATATGAAGTAACAATTCTGTCATTGTGTGTCATTAAAATCTTAATATTAGGTTGCAAAGTAACTGTATTCGTCAGTGCACATTCAGAAAATACACTAGTCCCTGCACATCTACTAGCTTACCAAAATGTAGCAAACTGTGATCCTACAAAGTTCACATTTTTATACACCAATACTGGCAGTGATTAAAACATGGCTCGTAACAATTCTGAAATTACAATGGTAACTTACCAATTGCAGAGTTGATAAAAATAATCTACAAATTTCATAAGGTTCTTTATTCTGTACAATCTCTGAGAAATAAATAAATGTCTTGTTTTTCTCTGCCAGTAATACATCAAGGATCTTACTGCCATATCTATGTATATCAAAGGGACCACGATCCTCCTGTCAAACACAACAAGTCATTATTGAGAAACCCACACATGCAGGGCGCCCTCTAAGTATTCAAAATTACATACTGAGGGCACTGTTACAGATACAAATCATTCTATTTTTGGAAATGAAAGATTAAATTGAAAATTAATTTGAATCATTTTTATTATTTTAGCATTGCAATAATGTAAATACAAATATACCTCTTGTTGTAATACAGGCATTATTTTCTCTTCCCATTCTTTGATCCGCCTTGATAGATCGGTTTCTTGGATATAATTCTGGGCTTGATCTAAATACAATTCCTTGCAAAGGAGAAAAAAATAACAACTCAATACTACCAATTCACAAAAAATGGCTGTGATGTCACACTTTAATTACATGAACTTTAAACTAAAGTGAGGTGTAGGAAAAATGATAAGATAAATAAAACAAGTCATTAAAAATGACACAGTCCCCGTTAAATTTTTAAAAGTTCTCTTTGTGCTCGTCATACTAAAGCGGAGGGGTTGTCCGAGCATGTCCTTGAAACTTGAGTCCCTAGTGGCGTATACAACAGATTGTTTATTTGCATCAAATTCAAACATGTGTTGCGCAACCACCCCTCCAGATCATAAGTGAAAGTATATTAAAGTTATCAACAAACAAGATGGCTCCCAGTCGGCCATATTTGATCAAATTGCAAATTGAATTGACATGTACATGTATCCATTTATGACATGCTAAATATCAATGAAAATGATATATGGGTGGCAGAGATATAGTAATATGGTCGAAAATAAAAACAGCCGTTTCTCTGCCATCTTTGATCTGATTATGAAACAAACTTAGGCAGAGGGTTCTCCGAACCCACCTATTCACAAAGTTCATACCCACCATAGACTCTGGTCAGTCAAAATGACTATTTTGAACTGTAGGCATTAATCAGCGATTCTGTCGGTGACGGAGAGATAGAATCTAGGTCAGGGGAAGCCCCATGACTCCAAGATTTTCTTTCCC